CACCTCCATCTCCGTCATCATCGTCTTCATCATCGTCATCATCATCTTGTTGATATTCAAGAAAGTCAGGTGAACCTTCAAGACGATCTTTCACAGCCAACCCTTGCAATGTGGTATTCACCTTCTCGTAGATGTCTTTGCACGGGAATGTCAATGGCAAATGCACCTCGATCTTCTCAGTGAGGTGTGGATGACGTAACTTGTCAATGATGGTCTTGGCGTCGAAAGAGTAGTTCTGTTGTCATGTCCGACAATGCCCAAGCCATGTATTGTCTTTGCCAATTGATGCCCGGTGCGATTTCATATCCAGCAAAGACACCAGGAATGCCCTTGGGGTCAAACTTGTGAGCTTGTTCATTGGCTCTCGCTCCGCTAGGTTTGAAGTAAACCAAAGCACCAAATGGGATCTTCTCACCCTTAAACTCGGCGCCATGGAGCTTGCACCAAGCACTCACATCATCTTCACCAGGTTCCACATTGAGTAGATGACATACACAACGTATGGCAAACTTCCAGAAACATGCTGGGAGTCCAGCCTCAAGTAGACATGTGGTAGTTGTTGCAATGACGAACTGGTTGTTGCGCTCGGCAAGGGAGTTCGTTGATGGTCTTCCCGGCAGAGCATGGTCAAGGGGAATCTTGAGAGCTTCCATGCCCTTAACAAACTGTCTGGCTTTATCGGAATAGGCTTCCCTAATTTTTCGTCTTCCCATAAAGTATTTCAGCGCTCTCACAACATCTTCAGTGTTCTTGGTTGGAGAGGGGTAACTTTGAATGATGCGGGTAAACCTGTCACGAATGACAAGAATCTCCTTGACCGTGTCGTAGCCCAGCTTGGTCGTCTTGCGAGTGTCCATGAAGTCAAAGGTGATGAGGTTGCCGAACTTGGTGAGCTTTCGACGGAATGCACCTCGATAGGTCTTGTGGTGCTTCATCTTGGCTCGTACGCAGGAGTTGCAGTACGGGTTCTTGTATCGATGAGTTAGTAGGTGTTCCAGTGTGCGAGCTTCATGCTTTAAGGTACCTCTTTTCGACAGTCGCACTCCTCCATCAGGATCATCCACATCGATATGATCCTCATCATCTTCTTCTTCATGCGGTCCATTCTCGACACCAATCTCATCTTCATCATGTTGATCAACTTCTGGATCTTCATCAGCTGCTGGAATTCGATCATCGTCGTCATCCCCGTCCTCATTCTGGCCAGGGACTTCATCAACGTGAACGTCCTCCTCATCCGGTTCTTCGTCACGGATAGAAGGTTCATAACCGTTGTCATCATCCTGTTCTTCTCCAGCTGCTGCAGGAACTGTCTTTCGCTTAGATCTTCTCTTCTTCTTAGTCTTCCTCCGGAGACTCGTTGGCCCGTCAACGTACGTACCAACTCCATCATCCGATTCAGACATTTCATCACCACTTTCACCATCAAGGAATATCGTCCTCGATGCAGTGCTGTTGCCCATGAGAACCAACACCTTCATCACCAACTCAGCCTCTTGGTCGGGCGATGGCCGATAGTCTTTCGCCCCGAGGTAGACATACGGGATAAGATCATGAACTTCCATCTTTATCTTGTCCCCTTCAGAGTTGATCATGTAGGGTTCTCTCCCACTAGGCCAAACGAAGGTGTAACCTTGTTCCATGCATCGCTTCCCCAATGAAAGCACTGATGGAGTGTCCTCCAACACATGTGCCCTAGCAGGCTCATTGAATGTGTCGAATTCCAAGTCCACCATAGTTGAGGTTGATGTGATGCCATTGGCAGTGTGGAAGTTAACTCTTGAACTCTCGTATGTGTCAATGTCCATTCTGTCAACTCTCGTTGATGAATTGAGGTCATGACCACTTCCAGAGTCCATGATGAAACGTCTGTCCTTGAGCTCGATTGGCATGGTGATGCGCATGATGTTGTCACGACGTCCATACTTTCCAGGAACGTGAGGGATAACCCCCTCGTAACACATCTCTGCCCGTGGGTTGTCCTCCAGATATTCATTGCTGTTGATCTTGAGCTTGATATCACTCTTGGGGCCCAGGACAATGTGCACCTCATCTACGTCCGAAAACTCGTTGAGGTCGTCCATCAAAATGCCAATTGCATGTGCCCGCGTCATACTCAGTTTGGCTTGTAGTACCCATTGTTGGTCGGTCATGATATCATGGGTAGACTTGCACGGCAAAGATTGTTTCTGAGCTCTTGACAAGTTTCTCTTTGGTCTCCGATTCGAGCACTGCACAAAGTCATGCTTCACGTACGCGAATGTGTCCACATGCTCCCTGAATTTGACATCCATCTTGACCTTCTTCTCACTTGGCATTGCACTCACGATGAAGTCATCATCATACTCACGGACCAATGCTGGGGTAGCCTTGGCATCAGACGTCTTAGCCGAAGGTGCGGCCTTCTTGCCCTTCATGTTGGGGTCGTGTTTGCAGGTACATTTGTCACCTTTCTTACAGTCGCCCTTCAGCCATCCGTAGCAATTGTGGTCCTTCTTTCCTCCAGGTGTCTGCGATCTTCTCGGCGTGGTTGATCTGCCATTCCTACCTTTACCATCTTTACCCTTCCTTTTGTCCCAGTGATATTGGGAGTGACTGTATTGGCATTTGTCACCATGTTTGCAATTCCCCTTGTTGAAGTGGAAATGACAAAAGGTCTTTGATGGATCCCTGGTAGAAGGTGATCTAGATCTTCGGCCACCCTTGCCCTTACCTTTGCCATGACTTTTGGGATTGCCGGAAGGTAGTACTGGGGCTCCAGGCTTACCTTTGGGTGCTGGAGCACTAGGCTTCCCGGTCCCCATCTTTCGGTGCAGGTGTAGGTGCTGCAGGCTTTGGAGCAGGAGTAGTCGGCTTGCCAAGATTGGCGTAGTCCGTGGCGAACTTGTCTCGGGCTGCGATGTTCCCTTCCTCACGCACACGTGCAATGTGCCTCTTCATGATTTCCAGCAACTCTTTGTAGGTCTTCTTCTTGTCATCATTGTCCCTGCCTTTGAAGATAGTGAGGTCGACATGCAGTGCTTGAGAACCATCAATCTTCCTCAACAAATGATCACGAAGGGTGTTGTCGGACGGTATGTCCTCAACCTTCATGTTCGGAATGATTTCAATCCATGCGTTGAGGAATTTGTCCATCTCTTTATCACCCCGATATTGTAACTTGTAGATGTGGCTGGCATTGAACAACACTTCATCTTTGGATGTCGTTCTGAAATGATCGAGACCCATTGCCAAAATCTCCCTGCCCATCAGAAAGTTCCCTTCTTTTCCAAGCACCTGACTCCTCTGCCTTATCTTTACTCTAACTTCGGATGCCACTTCACCTGCAGCATCCACCATGTTCTGCAAGGCAATCGATAGCTTGGAGTCAATGGACTGGAATCGAAAGTCACTTGAGTCAGCGAGTTCAGCATAGTTCGGGTCTGGTAGCTGAGCCGGTGTAAGCCATCTCCTCCATGCAGCTGTGTCAGGATCACCAGAAGCAACACAGACAGCTTGCACAACGTTCGATCGCCATACATCAAGGTCCTGACACTTCGGCCACGGCTTGACGACGACCTTCTCATGCTCTTTCCTCGATATCCGAGTGACCCAATCTTTTCCATCTTGGCCAATGTCGCTGTTGGCAACGCTAGCATCTTTGCCATCTTTTCGGTCCCAAAGTCCAGGTGGGTTGTCAGGTACTGGATCGTATTCAGGTTTATTACTCCCTTGCAATGTCTCTTGGCCTTCCTCCACCTGTTGTAACCAACTCTGGTACTCTTTCATCTCATCATAGTTTTGTTGAGCTCGTTCTTCAGCTATACGGAGCTTCTCGCGAAGGTCATCCATCTCGTTGGTGGTTTGGTTGATGCTAACACTACCCACACCCGGAGGAGGGGGAAGCGTAAACCCATGACTCTTTGCCAACGAAGATGCTTTGGGAGTTCCCCCAGACGTCACACCAGGTATTGCAAACGATGGAGTCATAGCTTTGGTTGCCGTCGTCGATGGAAATAGACTTGTAGGAGGTGGTATCGCTGGTGAAGCATGTATAGGAGTCACCGGTAAAGCAGGACTTGGGGGTGCCGGCATCGATGACATTGCCTTTCTAGCCTCTCGAAGTGATAGGCTTAGGTCGGCATTCTTCCTGATTGCTCCATCACGTTCATTGCGCACCAGTTGGTACATCTTCTTCCACCTCTCTGCCTCTTTTTCTTCCACATTGACAAGCGTCTCGGTCAATTTGGGGTTAGACCCGACACTCTCCTGTAGTCTATGGATCTCAAAATTTGCCTTGTGTAGTTCTTCCTTCAGCTCTTCGATCATCTTGGCATTGACCTCGTCACCGACAATGTTGATGCGAGACCCAATGAGCTCAGCAATTCGTGATCGAAGCTGATGATTCGATTCAATCAATGCCACATTCTCATCCATAAACTCATCCTTGACTGCCTCCAAGCTATTCTCCCTGTACTTGAATACCTGAAGTTCAGTATACCTGAACTGTCTATATTCGTCTTTCTCCTCCTGGGGTCGTTTCTCATGCCACTCTTTCCAAGCAATCTCGTTCTCTTTCAACTTCATGAGATGGTTTATCTCCACCTGCAGCTTGTTCTTTTCCCACAAGTGTTCATCTTCCTTCAGGTGAGCCATGTTTGCCATCTCACGGATTCTCTTGAAGTGTTCTCGAACTGTGCTGTCCTTGGTGGCGATGATGTCGTCCTTCGTCGCCAGGCTCTCCGAAAGCTCGTTGATGGCCGATTGCATTTCTGCTCTGGGAGCTCTCCTCCAACTTCTGTGTCAATAGTTCCATGTCCTCCTTGTTCGCCCTGTCGTTGACATACTGTGTGCATGCCTCACCAAGTTGTAGTCCATTCTGACGAAAGTGCTCAGCCATTACTTCAGACTGTTCATGTTGTTCTCGAATATGTTGTGATGCACTTTCCAACTCAGCATGGTATCGTTTCCTCATAGCCAAACTTTCCTGGACAATGTGGGCCGCGCCTTCCTCTGCGAGTTCTCCACGCTTTCCAAGCTCGTAGATCCGCATTGTCGACCCCTCATCCATGAGGTGTGCCTCGGCCAGAGCTTGGGATTGTTCGTCCAGTAGATTGTACGCATTGATGAAGGAATTTCTCATGTATTCCATCTCTGCATTGACATGTTCCTGATATTCTTCATGATGTTGATGGGAATAGACCTCTACATTATTGATCATCTGATCACGATGAACAATAGCATCTTGATACAAGTTTAATCTGTTTTCAAGTTCAGCCCTTGCTTGTTCACTTCGTTCCAGCTTTTCATTACTGTGTTGTAGTTGACGTCGTAGTCGTGCTTCGCTCTCATTCCTCGTAGCACTACCAGACGACTTGCGCTTGGACGAGGTGGCAGACCGACACGCCTCATCCTCACGCGTGGCCGCGTCCGACGGACCATGGCCACTTGCGTCTCTGATAGCAGCTGTAGGGGATCTTCCAATGCGATGCGACTTTGCCGACGTCGATCTTTTGGCACTTCCTCTGTGGGAACCAGCAACGCTCAGAGTTGTGAAGCTATTTGAAGATGCTCCACTTCCAGGCGCTCGGTACGAGACGGTACCGCCGCCCCCGCTTTCCGCAGATCCCGGCGTGTCACTGATCGCCTGAGCCGGAGCCGCGGGTGCAAAGGAAAAGTTCGTCTCATTGCTGCTCGATTGAGGTTGTTGGGACATCGCTTCTGCTTCTCAGCTAACCACTTCCGTTTACCTCAGTCCAATGACTGGTAGTAGGGCAAGTAGAGCAAGTTGCCGATGATGATGTCCAAGTCCAAAGTCCTTTCGCCCACCGGAGTGGGGAGATGAATCGATCGGGTAAATGCCCTCGACCGTCAACTCACCGTAGAGTTCCTCAGTAATGTGGGACCACCGTACGCCCTGGGTAGAGCATACGGCTGATAACCTGCGAATCGGCTATGGTGCCTCAAGTTGCCGTGTAGTAGTTGTTCCTGATGATCAGTTAGTTGTCAATCTCCCCGGAGGCAGCTGCGAACTCTTTTCCCTGCTGATCGGACTGCGGTGTTCTTGAGCCAAAGCAGCGGTTGGCATTCTGACCGCTGCTGGCAATCCGAATTACCGCTACATACAAGATTGACCTGTCGCCTGTGTTCCAATGACAGAAAAAAACTCACTAGGTCATCATGTACAAAAGTCAAGGCAATATCCGTGGGAACATCTTCAAAATATCGATGTAGTCGAGCCCAAATGGCTGGAGTGTTCAATTGTCCCATGATCTGGGGCCACATCTGCTGCAGCATGGAATCCAATGCCCTGCTGACAGCTTTGAGCAGATTTGCCTTGGAGAGATCGAAATCATGTAGCAAGCGGGCGCTGGAGATCAAGCTGATTGCTTTCTTGGCGATTTCCGGAGGGATTCTTCGATCGACAGATCGAAGGAAAGTGATTGCTTCCTGCCTGAAAATGGTCGATGTCGATGCTGGCATTTGACTTGGGTTGTTCTTCCTCCGTCAATTCGGATGCTGCCTTCATTCGGTCACGATGGTTCGAACCGAACTTGACCCATTTGATCCACTCTGTCTTGGAGTCATCGTGGAGGGATATCTGCATGTGGCCAGCCGGTAATGACGACGGTCCACGGGATTGATCCCCAGTGTCTGATCTGGGATGGCGTTTCTTGGAGCGTTGGTGAGGTTGAGCGGAAGTGGAGAAGGCTGTTAGAGGTCTGGAATGTGGAGCCGCAGAGAGGTTTTCCCAGGTAGCGTGTTGATGGGTTGTAGAGTAGGAATGGCTTGTTTTGTGGATGGCCATGAGGAGTGGTCGTGACTGGTAGGGGCTTGCCATTTGCCCCAGTCATCCCAGTCTTGCCATTGTGAGGAGTCTTGGTGACGAGGTACTCGATGGTAGTCGTCCTCATTGGTGGTATGTTCTTGCCAACGTGGTGGTGCACGTGGTTCAGGGGGTCGAGAAGATCGAGAAGACAAGTCGTAGGAGTGGATCTGATTGTCCTGGTCTTGGTCATAGTGTCTCCCTCGAACAGGAGATGCTGACTTCAGCGTGAACTTTCACGGCCTCGATCTCTGGATCGGTCACGATCATGAGGTGAGAAGTCCCACGAAGTCCCTTGCGTCGTCGTCGACTTGTCGACTTCGATGGTCTCGACTGTCTCTTGTGGCTCAGACGAAGAGAACGGGATCGTGGTGGAGAAGTGGAGAAAGATGGCGGCGGCCTGGAGGAAGTTCCTCGGAAGGTGTGGAGGATGTGGAGTGTGGTGAGGTGTGGATCGTGTGACGATCTTGAGACTTTTCCACCACGGTCGTCTTCATTTGTTGCAGCATCTCATCGGGATTAAATGATGCTGAAGGAACCGGCGAACTTGGTGTGGTCACCGGAGGAGTCGGTGGTTCAGGTGCACTTGGCACTGGTGTGGATGGTGGTGGTTGCACCGGAGGTGGAACCGGTGTAGGTTGTTGCCGGACTTGATGGTGAGGAAGAAGTTGTTGGAGATGGTTGATGTGAGACTG